TTTATACAGAGGATTGAAAATTTTAATTCTACACGTGATTAAGTTATGTGCAATAAAAAGAATTTGATTCGTAAAAGAAGTATTAAAAAAAAATGTATTACGAAGAGTTTAAAATCCGTGAAGAGATTTTTATTTTTGAAACCTATGAATTAATTGCTTCTTTATATTTAACAATTCCTAATGATAAAACATAAAACTTTAAATATATATTTTCAACTTATTGATGATACTCCTATCGAATTTTACTATGACTCGAATTTGTTTGATAGCAAATTTTTTATCAAAGCAGAGTATGCAAAGATTATTAGTTATTTGAAAAATAGATTTGTGAAGTTTCAAAATATTACTTTTTTCAACCGTTATAAGAAAACTATTGAAGCCAATAAAATAGAATATATAATGTATTATCCGGATGGATTTTTTTATTGGGATTACATTGAAAAGGGTTTTTATTGTAAATCTGCAACATATATTAAATATTTTATCTTAACAAATACTTATACGTTTGTTGATTCTAAAAGCACACATTCTCTTGAGAGTTTAATGGTTTTTTAATTACTATAGTTTTGATATTAAATTTATTATTAATTAGTTGGTTATAGTAATTGAGAATTAGGTCATGTTTGTTAGTTTTATTATTTTTTATTCGATATTGTAAATAATTTTTTTATTACTTAATTAATATAAATTTTTTTTTATAAGTATAATGGATACTTTAAAATTGATTGGCTAATAAAAAAATTTTTTTTTACATTTTAGGTTGTTTAATTTATTTATTGTTATTCTCGCCAGGGATTGGAACCGTTTAACCAATTAAAAATTGATCAAACAATTAAGAAAAATATTAGGCGGTTCCAATCCCTAATTCTTACCAACCTCATACCCGGGATCCTTTCGGATCTATTTTTGCAGAACACTAGTTTAGAATTCGGTTATAAATATCAATATGAATAAAATTAAAGTAGACAGAATTAATTAAAGTACAAATTTGGGCAAAGTTAGAATATAAATTTGGGAATTAAAGAAGAATTAGAGTTAGGGTTGTATAACATGGTAAGTTATTGGGGTGTGTGATTGGATTTTTTCATGGTTATTTAACAAATTATTTTTATCAAAAATTTAGTCGCTACATTTATATGATGTTGCAAAACAAACCAGACTTTATGTTCAAATAGAATAAAATTTACTATTGAAATTAGTATTTATTTATTTAAGATTCCATTCTCAGCAACCCGGTAGCACTATGAAAATTAGAAAAAATTCCAATAAAGATCTCGTGGCAAATAAGATGACTAGTCATATTAAAAATTTACAAACTAAAAAGTTTATACAAAAATAAAGTAATTTTTTTAAAAAAAATAAAAGATAAAATAGATTAAATATAGAATAGGTGATACTTCCGGCAAAGTTTTCAGGAACAAAAAATTAGCTGTAATCACGTAATCATAAAATGTAATGTAGAACCACTTCATGTGACCAATTTTAAAATTGCGCAATTCTGATTGGTCACATGAAGTAGTGCTGCATTACATTTTGCGATTAGATATACGGTTAATTCTTTGTCCTAAAAACTTTGCCGAAGTGCATCTATTCTATATTTGATTCAATGAAATTAAAAATATCAAAATTTGAATATTGGTATTAAATTATCAAGATATTTAATCTTAGATTCTTAAATTACTGTTATCTTTAAAGAATTGCACCATATCATTGAATTCAATTTATTTATTCTATTTCCGAATCTGCCAAAAAAAATGTTTTTTTTTTATTTCTCTTTTCTTCTTTACAAATCATATTTTTGAGTCTTATATTCATTTCTTTCAGTTTAGCATATTGTTGGAGAGAATTGTTTATTAAAATCCCTTCATCGACCAATATCAATAGCGGAATTAATTTGTTATGAATAAAGTAATCAAGATAGTCAATAATCGGTTGAATAGTTTCAATATTACAATCACAATTGTTAAAAAATTGAAGCCAGTTTTCGGCTAATGATTAATCGAATGTCTTCAATTTTGCTAAAAGTCTTTCAATCTCTAACTTATTTATTTTCTTGGAATTTTGATTCTTTACTAAATAGATTGATTTTAAATGAATAAAGTTATCAAGATAGTCAATAATCGGTTGAATAGTTTCAATATCACAATCACAATTGTTAAAAAATTGAAGCCAGTTTTCGGCTAATGATGAATCAATTGTCTTCAATTTTGCTAAAAGTCTTTCAACTATCTCCTTTATTTTCTTGGAATTTTGATTCTTTACTAAATAGCTTGGTTTTAATGTTTTTGGCTCTTGAAGGTGTTCAATTTTCAGTTCATTTTTTTTCTTCTTTTGTGTCAATTTGCTTTACTAAATCAAATACTTCTTGAGAGGATTCAGTTTTGGATATATAAATAAGCAAATTGATAATAGAATATAAATAACAAAAATATAAAAATATTGTAAGATAGCAAATGATATTGAAGAAATCCATTTTGCAAT